GACCTCCATAGAGTTTCTCACTACCAAAACCGGCCTTTATCAAGGTTCTCTCCACCTATAAGAATCACCAAAAGGGTCCCCGTCAACTACGTTGACTTCTATGGAGCTCCCGACCACCTATACCGACCTCTAAAGAGCTCCTAACTACGTATACGAGCTCCTACACATCTGTACGGACCTATATAAAACACCTTACTATACAGACCATTATGGAGCTCCTCTCCACATATACGAACCTTCATAGGGCTCCTCTTCAACTATATGGAATTCTATGAAGCTTCTATTCATCTATATTGACCTCATGTTTACGGATCTGTATGAATCTGTTTGGAGCTCGTTACCTCATATACAAACCTCCACAGAACTTCATTCCTATGCGGAGCTGTATAGATATCCTCTCCAACTATATATATGACCTCTTCAGTTCAACGAACCTATATAGAATTCATCTCGACTTATACGGACTTCTAAAGATTTACCCACCACCTATAAGAACATCTATAGAGCTTCTCGACACCTATTCGGACCTGTGTAGAGCCACTCACACATATAATGCCCCTTGATAAAGCTCCCCCTACATATACACCTTTTTAACGTGTTGTACGGAACTCTAATATCATCTTCACTACATATCGGGACATCTGTAGAGATCCTAATCACCAGTACGAACATATATAAAGCTCCTCATGACCTATGAATATCCTCTCCACCTATATAAACCTCTATGGAGCTCTTTTCCACCTTTACTAACCTCTATGGAGCTCCTCCACACCTATACAGACCTCTATAGAGCTAATTTTCACCTATACGGACCTCTATATATCTCCTATACCCATTCGTACCTCTACACCTACACGTACCTCTATGGAGTTCCTCTACACCTATATGTACCTCTATAGAGCTATTCTTTACCTATAAGGACCTCAATATAGATCTTCTACATCTATACTAACCTCTATAGAGCTTCCCTTTACCTATATGGACCTCTATAGAGCTCCTCTTCACCTATACGTACCTCTATGGAGTTCCTCTACACGTATATGTACCTCCATAGAGCTCTTCTTTACTTATAAGGACCTCAATATAGATCCTCTACACGTATACTAACCTCTATAGAGCTTTCCTTTACCTAAACGTACCTCTAAAGAGCTCCTCTCCACCTATACGGACCTCTATAGAGCTCCTCTCCACCTATACGGACCTCTATAGAGCTCATCTCCACCTATACGGACCTCTATAGAGCTCCTCTCCACCTATACCGACCTCTATAGAGCTCCTCTCCACCTATACGGACCTCTATAGAGCTCCTCACCACCTATACGGACCTCTATAGAGCTCCTCACCACCTATACGGACCCCTATAAAAAACGACTTAGTCATGTTTTACATGTAACGAAGAAATTTATTTTACAAAAAACTAAAAACCATTGCCTACTTTTGGTATACATACTAAGTGAATTATTAAAATGTTACTTTTTCCCTTTTTCTTATTCTGTTCCCCCACTTCACCTTTTTGTTTTTAATTTTAAATATATATTTTCCCCCATTATTTTTATGGACCCCTAAAAACTAAAAAACTCCTTCAGAATAGACAAAAAGTTATGCAATTTTTATATCTTTACTCGTTGGTTTTTTCTCATCTCGTCTTTTTTCCCTCTTTGTACGGCCGCAATTGACGTTATTTGATTATTCTCGGTATAAGTTTGAGTGTCTGTGTGTGTGTGAGTGTATTTGTGTGGTGCTGTGCTGTGTTGTTGACTGTCGTCTATTCATAGAAAGTTCTTCATAATATATTTTCCACTGCGCAAATTCCTATAAAAGTATGTATTCACAAACCCTCTTACGGCGCACAAGCTCAAACTTTTTCCCCCAATGGCACACAGACACACACACAGATAGATGGCCAGCCATAGACACTCACTCGCATGACGACGACGACGACAACAAATAACGAGCAAAAACCAACGAAAAAACCCCAATAGCAGCAACAATAATGACAAAAGTTTATTGCTGCTGCACACACAGAGAAACAGCAGACCCCAATCATGCACACCGACCCAATGGACACACACACAAGTTCTCATATATAATCACACAAGTGGCAGAGCAGCAACTGCAGAATAACTGCAAAAATTAGCAACAGCGCCAACGGTACGTAACGCTAAACACACACAGACGCTGACAGCAGCAGAGCAGCACAGCAACCACCCACTCTTCACTCTCACTCTCCCCACACTAAAACAAATCCTTGTATGTGAAACCGTTATACTCACACACAAAAAAAGCCAATACTACTGCTGAGTGAGAGACAGAGAGAGATAATTGTGGTTAACTCTTCACTGCAGCATTGCTTTTATTGCGGCGTATGTGTTATACAAAAAATAATAATACAGACCTCCCCAATTATTTGTTTTTCTATGTGTCATATCAATTTTGTCCTTCACTGTTTAAGAGAAATTTAATTCTATGGGGAGAAAAACAAAAGAGAAATTATCTTTGCAAATAAATTGGAAAGTCATGATGAAAACGAATGTAGTTCGGAATGGGGAAATAAATGTTTCGAAGTAAATTTTAAATATATTTTTTCAAAGTGTTTTATAATTTTTAGATGTCCGATTAGGTGGGGTGGAGCTCTACAGAGAGCCGTATATATTGCGAAAAACTCTATAGAGGTCCGAATAGGTGAAGAGACTGCCTATAGAGGTTTTTAAAGGATAAGAGCAGCTCTATTGAGCTCCGTGTAGTTGTTGAGCAGCTCTGTAGAGGCTCGTATAAGAGTGGTGCAGCTATATAGAGATGGTAAGGATATATATATATAAAGGTCCATGTTGGTCGTTAGGAGCTCTATAGAGGTCCGTAAAGGTGTTGAGGAGCACAGAAGAGGTTCGTATAGGCGTTGAGGAGGAGTGGTGAGGAGCTGTATAGAGGTCTGTATAGGTCTTAAGTACCACTATAGAGGCCCGTATATGTCTTAAGGAGCTCCATAGAATCCGTATCAGGTAGTGCAGTTCTCTATAGAGATCCATATAGATGGTGAATAGCTCTTTTAGAGGTTCTTGTATGTTGTGATGAGCATAAGAGAGGTTCGTATAGGCTGTAAGGACCTCTATAGAGACCCGTATAGGTGATGAGCAGCTCCATAGGTGATGAAGAACATTATTGTTGGCAGTGTAGGTGGTTAGGGGCTCTATAGAGGTCAGTATAGGTGGTGAGAAGCTCTACAGAGGCTCGTATAGAAGGTCGGAAGCTCTATTGAAGGTCCATATAGATGCTGAGGAGCTCTATAGAGGTCCGTATAGGTAGTGAGGAACTCTATAGAGGTTCGTATAGGTACTGAGGAGCTCTATAGGGTTTCGTATAGGTACTGAGGAGCTCAATATAGGTCCTTTTAGGTACTGAGGAGCTCAATAGAGGTCCTTATAGGTAGTGAGGAGCTCTATAGGGGTCCGTATAGGTAGTTAGGAGCTCTATAGAGGTCTGCATATGTGGTGAGGAATACTAAAAATATCCCCATAAGTAATGAGGTGTCCTATGGTGGTTGGGAGCTCTATTGGATTGCGGATTGTTGGTAAGAAGCTCTAAAGAGGGCCATATTGGTGGTGAGGAGCTTCGTAGATGTCCGTATAGGTGGTGAAGAGCTCTTTAGTGGAGCTTAATAGAGGTCCGGTTAAGAGGAGATGAGCTCTTTAGAGGTCCGTATAGGTTATAAGGTACACATATAGGTTATAAGGGGTCATTATAGGTGACGAAGAACATCATCGAAATCCGTTGAGGAACTCTATAAAGGCCGTATAGATGGTGAGTAGTTATCTAGAGGTCCGGTTAAGTGGTAATGAGCTCTATGGAAGTGAGTATATAAGATGAGAACATCTATAGAGTTCCGTATAGGTGTTAAAGAGCTCAATAAATGTCCGTATAGGTTGTGAGGAACTCTGTAAAGGTCTGTATATGTTATGAGGAGCTATATAGAGTTTTGCTTAAGAGGAGATTACCTCTTTACAGGTTCGTATCGGTGGTTAGGAGCTCTATAGTATTGCGGATTGTTGGTAAGAAGTTCTATAGAGGTCTATATTGGTGGAGGGGAGCTGTTTAGAAATCCGGATAGGTGGAGGGCAGCTTCATAGAGGTCCGCATAGAGATCCGTATTGGAGGTGTGCAGCCCTATAGACGTTCGGTTAAGAGGAGATGAGCTCTTTGGAGGTCCGTATAGGTTATAAGGAACACTTATAGGTTATAAGGGGTCCTTATAGGTGGTCAAGAACACCATCGAAGTCCGCATAGGTGGTGACGAGCTCTATAGAGGTCCGTATAGGTAGTGACGAGCTCCATAGAGGTCCGTATAGGTAGTGATGAGCCCTATTGAGGTCCGTATAGGTGGTGAGAAACTCTATAGAGGTGCGGTTAAGAGGAGATGAGCTCTTTAGAGGTCCTTATAGGTGGTGAAGAACACCATCGAAGTCCGTATAGGTGTTGACGAGCTCTATAGAGGTGTGTACTGGTTTTGAAAAGCTTCATTTGGATTCAATTTAATTAAAAAATATTTTCTCTCAAATAGTTTGCAAGTTGTAACGTTGCTATCAGATTGAAATTAAGCTGCTCAAAATGAATATCCTTGGATTGTTTTCAACATGTCAAATTGACATTAACATGTCATATTTACATATGTATTGACATATGGAGGGTCATTGACATATTACGCTATATATATTCAGTGTATGAATGTATGCGAGGCAATTAAAGAGATGCGTAGGATATATATGTTTACATACACATACATACAAATATGAATATGTGTGTATATGTAGCAATAAACGAAATATGCATTTAAATATTAAATAAACATCAATATGATGACTGGTGGAAATGCAAAAGAGCATAAAAGCATGGTATTAAAAAAAATGTTCCAAATATCTTCTAACATCTTTTTAAGTTCTGCTTTTTTTATAAATTCTTATTAATTATTTTTTTTAACTTTCTTCCATTTTTAGCTAAAACCTTTACTTAAGTAAAAACAAAAAAAAAAACTCCCAAGAAAAAATGGCTGGTGAACGTCCAAAACGCCCCTTGTCCGGCTATATGCTGTGGCTCAACGAACATCGTGAACAAATCAAAAAGGAAAATCCCGGCAGCAAAGTTACCGAAATTGCCAAACGAGGCGGTGAAATGTGGCGGGCAATTAAGGACAAGAGTGTAAGTAGATAAAAAAATCGAGGGTTGTGTTAATAACAGAATATTTAAAAAAATCAGGAAAATGTTAGGCAATCAACAAACTACAAAAATCCAGGCATATTTTTGATGCCTCAAGAAATATTTTTTAAAAAAAATCCTTGACTATTTTTGGTTAAGATGAGATGAGCTATTTAGTAGAGGTCCGTATAGGTGGTGAGAAACACCATGGATGTCATTATAGGTGATGAGGAGCCCTATAGAGGTCCATATTGGTCGTGAGGAGCGCTGTAGAGGTCGAAATAGGTAATAAGGAGCTCTATAGAGGTGTGTATATAGGGTCTTTGGAGGTCCGTACAAGTGTTGAGGAGCTATTTAGATGCTCGTATAGGAGGTAAGGAGCTCTATAGAGGTCCGTATAGGTGGTGAGGACTTTATAGAGGTTCGTATAGATGGTGTGGAGCTCTATAGAGGTGGTGAACTGCTGTTTAGGTCCGTATAGGTGGAGAGGAGCTCTTTAGAGGTCTGTATAGGTGCTGAGCGGCTCTGTGGTGAGAGGTGGTGAACTGCTGTTTAGGTCCGTATAGGTGGAGAGGAGCTCTTTAGAGGTCTGTATAGGTGCTGAGCGGCTCTGTAAATTTTCATATAGGTGGCGAAGAGCTCTATAGAGGCAGTATAGGTGGTGTGAAGCTCTATAGAGGTCTGTATAGGTGGTGAGGAGCTCTGTAAATGTTTATTTAGGTGGTAAAGAGCTCTATAGAGGCAGTATAGGTGGCATATATTTGATGCTTCAAGAATTTTTTTTTTTTAATCCATGCCTATTCTTAGTTAAGATGACATGACCTATTTAGAGGTCCGTATAGATGGTTATGAACACCATGGAGGTCATTATAAGTGATGAGGAGCCCTATAGAGGTCCATATTGGTCGTGAGGAGCGCTGAAGTGGTCGATATAGGTGGTAAGGAACTCTATAGAGATCCGTATAGGTGGTGAGAAACTTTATAGCGGTTCGTATAGATGGCGTGGAGCTCTATAGAGATGGCGAGCAGCTGTTTAGAGATCCCTACAAGTGGTGATGAGCTACATAGAGGTCCGTATAGGTGGAGTGGAGCTTTTTAGAGGTCTGCATAGGTTGTGAGCGGCTCTGTAAATGTGCATATAGGTGGTGAAGAGCTCTATAGAGGCCGTATAGGTGGTGTACAAGTGGTGAGGAGCTATTTAGAGGTTCGAATAGGTGGTAAGGAGCTCTGTAAAGTTTCAATAGGTGTTGAAGATCTCTATAGAGGCCGTATAGAGTTGGTTAGCAGCTCTTTAGAGGTACGTTAAAGTGTTGATGAGCTACTTAGAGGTCCGTATAGGTGGTGAGAAGCTCTTTAGATGTCTGGTTAGGTGGCGAGGAGCTCTGTAAATGTTCATATAGGTGGTGAAGAGCTCAATAGAGGCCGTATAGGTGGTGTGGACCTCTATAGAGTTGCTGAGCAGCTCTTTACCGTTCCGTACAAGTAGTGATGAGCTACATAGAGGTCCGTATAGGTGGAGTGGAGCTTTTTAGAGGTCTGCATAGGTTGTGAGCGGCTCTGTAAATGTGCATATAGGTGGTGAAGAGCTCTATAAAGGCCGTATAGGTGGTGTACAAGTGGTGAGGAGCTATTTAGAGGTTCGAATAGGTGGTGAGGAGCTCTGTAAAGTTTCAATAGGTGTTGAAGATCTCTATAGAGGCCGTATAGAGTTGGTTTGCAGCTCTTTAGAGGTACGTTAAAGTGTTGATGAGCTACGTAGAGGTCCGTATAGGTGGAGAGGAGCTCTTTAGACGTATGTATAGGTGGTGAGCGTCTCTGTAAAGGTTCATATATGTGGTGAAGAGCTCTATAGAGGCCGTATAGGTGGTGTGGAGCTCTATAGAGTTGGTGAACAGCTCTTTAGAGGTCCATACAAATGGTGAGGAATTACTTAGGGGTCCGTATAGGTGGTAAGGAGCTCTGTAAAGGTGTTGAAAAAATCCACGTCTATTTTTGGTGATTCAAAAAATATTTTAAAAATAAACCGCGCCTATATTTTTAAAATATCCACGCCTATTTGTAGTCCCTTAAAAATATTTAAAAAAAAACTACTTCCACATTTTATTTCTTTAATTTTTCTTCTCATTTCATTTATACTAATGCTGTGTTTTTCTTTTTTCTTCCAGGAATGGGAACAAAAAGCCCTCAAAATGAAGGAGGAATACAACAAGGCCGTTAAGGAATACGAGGCCAATGGTGGCACCGATACCGGTGCCCCCAAAAAACGCAAGAGCAAGGCTAACAAGGCCCCAGTCAAGAAGGCCAAGAAGAAAGATACCTCCGAGGAGGAAGAAGAAGAAGAGAGCGAGTAAATTAGAATAAAAATTGTGAATGGAAATGGAGAACCTGCAATTCGTTTTAATAACAACAACAACAAAAAAAACAAACAAACAAACATAAATATTACAAACAAAAACAAAAATTTAAAATATGTTTAACTTACAAATATAAGTTTTAAACATTTTATAAATGTAAGCTTAAGGTGGCATATATATATATATATATCTACATAAATATATATATTTACAATGAAAATATTACAAACAAACACATTTTTCAGTATATATGTAAAACAACCTACATATATATTTACTTACATATATAAATTGCAAATAAGTATAGAAAATTAAAAGAAAAAAAAGAAATTTCCAAAAAATATTTCTTTTTCTTTTCGCCCAAAATGACCGGGGTCATAAATTCTCAATTTATATATTTCTTTTTTGTATTTGTATTCTTTCCTAATTAATTAAATTATACTATTTAAGATTAGTTTATGTGTATGTTTTTGTTTTCATTTTTAATTTTTCTTTTCTATGTGTAAATTTGAGAATAATTATTTATAAAACAAAAATAATTCTAAGTTTTACACGAATTTTTCCATTTGTTAAAAAAAATAAAAGCAACAACAAATATAATAATCATTTGTATGTATGTATGTGTTGTGTATATTACATCAATACATATATGCATATTAAATTTTGTTCATTTTTGAAATCACAAGGATTTAATCCCCCCAGTAGAGAAAACAAAATATTAAATGAATTATTTTTAGTTGCTATGGCTGTGAAATTTTGAAATCATTGCCATTGCAATTTCTTTATGAAACTTTTTTTGAAACTAAAACAAAAAATAAAATACATACATACAAATTTTTAATAATAAAAACAAAAAACAAAACCCTAACTTTAAATGTACATGTAATTGTAGATTGAATATTAATGAAAAAAAAACCACATAAAAAATCCAACAAAAACAATTAAAAAAAAATTACAAACAAAAAAATCCAAACATTTAATTATGTCAAACAAAAAAAAATAAACAAAAACTAAAATAACAAAAAAAAAAACAAAATTGATGTTATTATTAAAGTGATTAAAGGGTCATATTTTCATATTTCTGAGGGCTACAAACCGATTTTCAGGTTCATCATCATTCATCATTCTAGATCTTACTTAGTACGCCATGCAAATTTCGTGAAATCGAAAGATATATAGGGGCTTTGGTACTCCATTTACATTAAATCGGACGAAAATATATATTTGGGAACTATATCTAAATCCGAACCGATTTTCTCGAAACTTAACACACATCATCGTAGAACTAATTTAGTACGCCATGCCAAAATTCGAGCAAATCGAAGAATATATAGGGACTTTGGTGCACCATTTACATAAAATCGGAAGAAACTATATATGGGAGCTATATCTAAATCTGGACCGATTTTCACGAAACTTAATATATGTAATTCTAGACTCAATTCAGTGCACTATAGCAAATTTCGTGCAAATCGAAAGATATATAGGGACTTTGGTGCACCATTTACATAAAATCGGACGAAAATATATATGGGAACTATATCTAAATCCAAACCGATTTTCTCGAAACTTAACACACATCATTCTAGGCGTAATTCAGTACTCTATGCCAAATTTCGTGCAAATCGAATGATATATAGGGACTTTGGTGCCCTACTTACCTTAATCGGACGAAAAATATATATGTGAGCTATATCTAAATCTAGACCGATTTTCTCGAAACTTAACACTCATCATTCTAGGCGTAATTCAGTACTCTATGCCAAATTTCGTGCAAATCGAAGAATATATAGGGACTTTGGTGTCCCACTTACCTTAATCGGACGAAAATATATATGGGAACTATATCTAAATCCAAACCGATTTTCTCGAAACTTAACACACATCATTCTAGGCGTAATTCAGTACTCTATGCCAAATTTCGTGCAAATCGAAAGATATATAGGGACTTTGGTGCCCCACTTACCTTAATCGGACGAAAAATATATATGTGAGCTATATCTAAATCTAGACCGATTTTCTCGAAACTTAACACTCATCATTCTAGGCGTAATTCAGTACTCTATGCCAAATTTCGTGCAATCCGATCATAAATGCGACCTGTACTTTGTTTACAATTTAACATCTACAGACGGACGGACATACATAAATCGACTCATAAAGTGATTATATGCATATTCTCAAAAGGAACCATGTGTCTATCTCGTTTCCTTTTGCCTGTTACAAAAATATGCACAATGACATAATACCCTGTACCTGTGGTAGGGTGGTGTGGTGAAAGGTATAAAAAGATTTCAAGGCGCGTCGGTCTTTTCAACAGTTTTTCCAGTTTGAAACATCATATTTGGCAATGTCGTCCTCCACTTGATCTTTCCATCTTATTCGTGACCTTCCCCTTCTGCGTGAACCATCAGCCTGTTCGCTTTTATATACCTTTTGGGCTGGGCCATCCATTCATCGATTCTCACAACATGACCTAGCCAACGTAGTCGTTGCAGCTCAATACGTCTAACAATGTCGATGTCCGAGAATAGCTGGTACAGCTCATGGTTTATTCGACGGCAATATTCACCGTCAACGCACATCGGCCCATAGATCTTTCGGATAATTTTTCTCTCAAACACTCCAAGTGCTGCCTCATCTGTTTGCGTAAGTACACATGCTTCAGATCCATATAATAGCACGGGTACTATCAGCGTCTTGTAGAGTGTGTGTCCCGCTAGACCAAAATCACACTCTACAAGACGCTGATTTTCTTCTAATTTTTTGAGGGGGCTATAAATAGGCGTGGAATTTAAAAAAATAATCTTTTTTAAAAATATTGACCTCTAAAAATTGTTTATACCCTACACAACTATGTTGTCAGGGTATTATAGCTTTGTGCAGCCCCAAATATTTGTAACGCCGCGAAATATTGGTCCTAAACCCACCTTTAAGTATACCGATCGTCATATATCGATTAGCTGAGTCGATCCAGACGTGTGTGTCCGTCCATTATAATTTGTAAACACGATACAGGTCACAGTTATGGACCAATCTTTACGAAATTTTGCATGTAGGCTGGGTTCTGGCCAATGAAGACCCCTATTGTTTTTGGTAAAGATCGGTTAATATCTAGAGGATGAAATGGACCAAAAACTTTAATTTTGTCGGGTTTTCTGGTCGCTTCAGAGGCGAATTTTTACATAGAGAAGGGGATCGGGCCAATGAGTAAGCATGTCTGTTTTGATAAGGATCGGTCAATATTTAGCAGGTCAAATGGACCCTGACTTTTATGTGAAAAAATACAAAATTTGTATTCTATAGCGTATAGATTTACTCCTGAAGGACATAGACCCGAATAGTTGTTCGTATATCCAAGGGCAGTGGTTGACCTTTCAATTGATACCAATTATATCGTCGTATGTTCTCGGAGGTGGGAGTTACATTTAAATATTTACAGGTGCTTATGTCGGAAATATAGTGCTGATCGCTTTGAAATGCCCCATGATGTTCCAGTTATGGTCAAGTAGAATAAGCCGGACATCACAACATAACCCACGGTGAAGGGGATCTGGGTAAGTAATTAAAAGAGTTGTACTGAACATTAGTAATATTCGGAAAATATGTCAGTGTATGGAAGAGGTGCTATTGACCTCTAATCGGGCAAGAGGGTGCAACTATCACGAAATATTACCGGAATAAAAATCTGCGGAATGATAGAGTTCTGTGGTAGTTGTGTAGGGTATCATATGGTCGGCCCCGTCCCACTATACTGCTCCGCTCACTGGTTTGATTTACCAATGAGAGAGAAAAAAAAACAACTCTCATGACCAATACCAATCACCAACAGTGTAAAACCCCGCTTAGTCGATTGTGTTAACATTTCAAACATATGATCGCCATTTCCTTACTTACAGAACCCTATACACCAGTGATGGATATCTTTCGAAATGTAAACAATACATTGAAATTGTTGTTAAAATAATTAAAAAAAATTATATTTATTACAAAAAAAAATTATATGGTAAATATTTTTGTTTTATAATTTTGAAAATAATTTCAATAGAAATTTTGAATTAAATATTTCATTATTATTAACAAATAGCCCAAAATAAGGATGGTACCAATTTGGATGGATGGTACTAATTTCCCAATCACTCTGCCATGTCTGACACCTGATGCCTGCCATATGATTGCTGCCGGTGTACTCGTCGCATTGGTGGTCCCTAAAAGTTCGGGCGGCCAAAAGAAAAAAAAAAGACCAACCATTTTTTGTTTGGTTTATTTGGTATTTCCCCGGTTTTGCCAGTCATCGATGAACACGTATCCCCTCGTCCTCAGCCGTATAAATATCAGCGGGCGCTGATATTGCAATTTCATCAGACGCATTTGAAGCTGCTGTATGGACGATTGTGAATTTCGTGTTCGGAACAATTGTTGAAAAAGAAAAATAATTTATAAGAAGTTGGAAACAAAAGAAAACATGGTGGAAATTACCGAAGAAAATTGCAAGGAAATTGTAGGTTTTTTTTCAATATTTTTTGTTGTTGTTGCAATTATAATTAAATTTTATTTTGTTTATTTCTCTGTGTGTGACTGTGTGTTTGCTAAACAACCAACTGCATTGCAGATAAAACCTCGCCCATACCAATTGGACTTGGTGCAATATGTGATGGAAAGGAATGGCATCATTTATTTACCAACTGGAGCTGGCAAGACTTTTGTGGCAATTTTGGCATTGAAAAAATTCGCCCATACTTTGCAAAAGTGAGTCGGCTTTTTATTATGTTCTACCTATGTATGTATGTTCGTGTGTATGTAAGCGACCTGCAGTTTCACAAGTGTAGTGGCTGAGGCAACTCATTCATCGACTACATCGTCGATGAATTTTCATCGACTACATCCACGGTTATGATCAGTGGTAATTTGTCCAGTAGTTTCTCGAACCTACAAAATTTAATAGACAAATTTTCAACTACATGATTGCGGGAACTAAGTCATAATTTTTTTTTTTTTTTGATTTTTTGTTAATTCTACTTTTTATGTTTTTTTGCTTTTTAACTTAAAATTGGTTAAGGGCCCCATACACTATAAATCATGCCGTCATGCCGATGAACCCCTTTTTGTATATGTGAGATTGACTAGTGTATGGCAAACTCTTCAATCACTATTCCAAAATATCGATTTTTGTCCCAAAAATTTCATTTTGAGTCGTAAATTCCGTTGTTTTTTATTCCGTCACAATTTTATTATTTTTGTACACAAAATTTTTTATTGACAACTTTCAAAATGAATATTATTCACCAGATTGATAGGGTTTCATTTTCAAAATCAAAACTATTTTGATTTTCTTCATGCATTGTGTGTGTCACACATACATAAATAATCTTTCAAAAAATAACACATACTATGATAAATGCTGTACGGCATGATGTATAGTGTATGGGGCCCTTTAAATATGAATATAAGCAAGTGAAAAAAGCATTAAGTTCGGCATGTATGTTCGTGTGTGTGTGTAAGCACCCTGCAGTTTCACAAGTGTAGTGGCTGGCAACTCATTCATCGACTACCTCATCGATGAATTTTCATCGACTACATCTACGCGGTTATATTAAAATGATCAGTGGTAATTTGTCCAGTAGTTTCTCTAACCTTCAAAATTTAATAGTCAAATTTTCAACTACATGATTGCGGGAACTAAGTCATAATTTTTTTTTTTTGATATTTTTTTTTTCAATTCTACTTTTTACGTTTTACGGACCTATATTAATAATTTTTGTGGAGAGATTTGGTACATATTAAGAACTCAAAATACTAAATTCGGTGGAAAAATACTGAAAATTAGGAGGTACCGTTCGAATGGGGGCTACCAGAAAAAGTGGACCTATATTTATAATTTTTTTGTGGAAACATTTAGTACCTAATAGGAACCCAATGTACCAAATGTCAGCGAATTCGGATGAAAAAAATCGCTCAAGAACAGCAAAATATCGAAAATTGGGGGGTACCCTTATATGGGGGCTCTCCAAAAAAATGGACCTATATTAATAATTTTTTTTGTGGAGAGATTTGGAATATATTAAGAACTCAAAATACTAAATTCGGTGGAAAAATACGATCAAAATCCCCTAAAATACTGAAAATTAGGAGGTGCGGTTATATGGGGGCTATCAGAAAAAGTGGGCCTATATTTATAATTTTTTGTGGAGACATTTAGTACCCAATAGGAACCCAATGTACCAAATTTCAGCGAATTTGGCTCATTTCAGCTCAAGAACAGCAAAATATGGAAAATTGGGGGGTACCGTCATATGAGAGCTATGCCTAAACGTGGACCGATATATCCCATATTTTAACTTAACCTGCCTGCAGACAACAAAGACAAACCTATGCAAAATTTCAGCACCCTATCTCAATTCCTTCAGAAGATAGCGTGATTACAACAAACGGGCAGACGGACGGACATGGCTAGATCGTCTTAGAATTTTACCCTGATCAAGAATATATATACCGTATGGGGTCGGAAAGGAATATTTCGATGAGTTACAAATGAAATGACAAAATTAATATACCCTCCATACTATAGTGGAGGGTATAAAAAGATGTTTTTTACTTAGATTTGTGGTAGTCGAGGAATTCCTCCATCGAAAAATAAAACAACGACAACAACAAAAAGTAGCCTGCAAAGTAATTTCTTTGTTTATGTTTATACAGAATGTGTAGATTATAAGCAGAACGACGATTGATTGCAAGTGTGTGTGTGTGTTTTAGATTTTTTTCGCTTGCAAAGCAAAAGGGGGAAAAAAATATTGAGAAAAAACTTGATTTGCTGATAATGACGATTTTTTGATTTTTTTAATGCCTTTCGTAGATATAAATGAAACGAAATTTCTAGAACTTAGATTTAGCCACATCCATACATCTCTACGTCTGTTGTAATCAGTCGATCTTCTTAAAATGTTTGCGTTAAGGTGCTGAGATTTGGTATACCAAAATATTTTATCAGCTGTAAAATCATATTTGGTATTTAGGATGTTGGTCCACGTTTCGGGTTGGACCTCATATAAAGATTTTCAATATTTTAAGAATTTGGGGTACGTTTTCGACAGAATGTGTTCATATTTGGTATTTAATATGGCAATTAGGTAAAAAATCACCCTACCAAAAATTTAGCAATATAGGTCCACGTTTCGGGTTAGCCCCTATATAAAAATGTTAAATTTTTAAAGGTTTTAGTCACTTTTTTCAAACCAAATTGTTTCTAAGTGGATATTTTGGATTGTTAGGGGATACAAAATCTTCCGACCAAAAATTATCTACATTGGTCCAAGTTTCCGAGTAGGCTCCATTTAAAGATTTTCGATATTTAAGGGTTTTGGGCACCTTCTTCAAATCGAATTGCTGGTAATTTAATATTTTGGGGTGTCATTGGGTCACTAATCTTTCTACCAAATTTTATCGATATTGGTCCACGTTTCGGGTTAGACCCCTCATAAGAACTTCCGATATTTAAGAATTTTGAACGCCTAATTCAAACCGAATTTATTTTAGTTTGATATTTTTGGTTGTCATTGCGTGTAATTTGATATTTTGTATTGTCAGGGCATATACAATCTTCCGACCATAAATTATCTATATTGGTCAACATTTTGGATTAGATCCCACATAAGGATTTTCGATATTTAAGGGTCTGGGACACCGTTTTGAACCGAATTGGTCGTAATTTGATATTTTGGATTATCATTGTGTCACAAATCTTCCGACCAAAAATTATCCACATTGGTCCACGTTTCCGGGAAGGCCCCATATAAAGATTTTCGATATTTTAAGATTTTGGACGTCTAATTCAACCCGAATTGATTTTAGTTTGATATTTTGGATTGTCATTGGGTCTGAAATCTTCCAGCCAAAAATTATTAACATTGGTCCACGTTTCGGGTTTGACCCCATATAACGATTTTCGAAATTTTAAGAGTTTCGGAAATTTTTTCCAATTGAATGGGCTTTTATTTGGTAATTATAATAGCCATTTGGTAGCAAATCTTCGTACAAAAATTTGTCAACACTGGTCCACGTTTCGGGTTAGACCCCATATAAAGATTTTCTATATTTAAGGGTTTTGGACAACTTTTCAAAACAAATTGCTGGTAATTTAATATTTAGTATTGTCAGAGGATAACAAATCTTCCTACCAAAATTTATCTATATTGGTCCACGTTTCGGGTTTGGCCCCATATAACGATTTTCGATATTTTAGGATTTTGAACACCTAATTCAAACCGACTTGAATTTAGTTTGATATTTTCGATTGCAATTGGGTCACAAATCCTATCCTATCAAAATTTATCAATATTGGTCCACATTTCCGGGTAGGCCCCATACAGATTTTCGATATTTATGGGGTTTTGGACAATTTTTTTCTAACCGAATGGAATGTTATATGATTTTTACGATTCACATTGGCTAAAAAATCTTCCGACCAAAAATTATCGATATTGGTCCACGTTTTGGGTTAGGTTCCATATGAAGATTTTCGATATTTTAGGATTTTGAATCACTTTTTCTAATCGTATTGGTCGAAATTTGATATTTTGAGTTGTCGTAGGGTCGCAAATCTTCGTATCAAAATTTATAAATATAGGTCCATGTTAAGGTCTAACACCCTCATAGGGATTTTTGGTATCTTGAGAATTTCGACCATTTTTTTCAGCAAAATTGCTTTTAATTTGATATTGATGGTTCAGCAAATATTCATACCAAAAATGATCAAATTCGGTCCACGTTTTGAACTATTTTCTTTTCTCCCCCCAAACAGGACCATTAAAAATGGCGGCAAACGTGCCATATTTATGTGTAATACCGTAGAATTGGCCCGCCAACAGGCTGAGGAAATTCGAAAAACAACAAATCTTAAAACCGGTATATATATTGGAGATCGTGATGTTGACAATTGGCAACGTCGAAAATGGGAAACTGAAATCGAAGAAAATCAGGTAAATATTTTGTTATTTGAAATAAAAAAATCGCATTTTTTAAATTCTCTTGTTTTTTTGCTTTCTCTTCAGGTTCTCGTTGGTACGGCTCAAATTTTTGTCGATATTGTATCGCAGAATTTAATCAAAGTTAACGATCTAAGTGTCGTTGTCATCGATGAGTGCCATCACGCCACCGGTGGCCATCCAATGAAAACATTTTTAAGTATGTTCCCGCTACAGCCAACCGAGGGCCCCCGCGTCATAGGCTTGACCGGTGTCCTAATTAAGGGCAATAAATTGGGCAATGTCATTAGCGATCTGCGAACATTGGAATCAACAATGCGTGGCAATATTATTACTGTGCGTTCGGCAGAGGAGATGCAAAATGTTATGGTGTAAGTTATAATTCTAACGAAAAAATAAAAAAACAATTTCGGTTTAGCTTCCTTGAAAGATTTCGCCAAATAGAAGCGGTATTTAAAATTGTTGTCATCATTTTCCAAGCGATTTTGCTATAATTTGGTATTATTGTTTCTCAGGGAGTAGAGCAGCTCGTTGCCAAAAATTATCTAAATCGGACATTATTTCGTTATAGCTTCCTTTAAAGGTTCTGCCAAATAGAATCGATTTTTAAGATTTTAGCCAAATTTCTCAAGCGATTTTGTTGTTGTTTGGAATTTTTGTTTCTCAGGGAGTAGTGCAGCTCTATGCCAAAAATTATCTAAATCGGACTTCATTTCGATATAGCTCCTTTTAAAAATTCCTCCAAATAGAACCTATTTTTAAGATTTAAGGCGTATTTCTGGATCGATTTTGTTGTAATTTGGTATTATTGTTTCCCATAGAGTTTAACAACTCCATGCCAAACATTATCTAAATCGGACTTCATTTCGATATAGCTGTCTTTAAAGGTTCTGCCAAATAGAACCGATTTTTATGATTTTAGCTACATTTCTCAAGCGATTTTGTTGTAATTTTCTATTTTAGTTACCCATAGCATTGTACAGTTACATGCCAAAAATTATCTAAATCGGACTTCATTTCGTTATAGCTCCCTTTACAAATTCGGCCAAATAGAACCGATTTTTAAGATTTTAGCCACATTTCTCAAGCGATTTTGTTGTGGTTTGGTATTATTGTTTCTCAGGGTGAAGTGCAGCTCCATGCCAAAAATTATCTAAATCGGACTTCATTTCGATATAGCTCCCTTTACAAATTCCCCCAAATAGAACCGATTTTTAAGATTTTAGCCACATTTCTCAAGCGATTTTGTTGTGGTTTCGTATTTTTATTCCTCAGGAAGTAGTGCAGCCCCATGCCAAAAATTATCTAAATCGGAATTCATTTCGATATAGCTTCCTTGGAAGATTCCGCCAAATAGAACCGATTTTTAGATTTTAACCACATTTCTCAAGTGATTTGGGGTAGTATAGCATTTTGCCAACTTCTTATATTCAAATTAGATACCAAAAATAATATATTTATAAACCTAATATTTTGTTTCGCCTTAGGTTCTCCACCAAGCCATTTGAGGAATTGGTTTCCTACACATCAAATCGCCATACCTTTCAAGTGGAAACCAAAATAAAACAATTGGTTGAGGAATGTAAAGCCTTCATTGACAATTGGAGCATTGGCGCTGTGGCCTTAAAAATGACTAAAGGCCTGCAAGGATTTCGTGAACCGAACAAAAAGAATTCGGCCAAAAATCTCCTGAACGATTTCATTTATCAAATGGACGATTTGGGTCTATATTCGGCCTCCATTGCCATTATGTCGCTGATTATCGAATTCGAAGTGAAAAAACGTCAATCCGATACAATAGCTTTGCGCGACATGTATCGTCGTATTCTACAAGACTGCGAACGTATACGACACATTATTTGCCACGAACTGAAGGAGATGTTGGACGTCGATGATGAGATGCCAATCAACGACAAGGATATTCACACCTTGAATATTATACTCAATTATTCGACGCCCAAATTGAGAGCTCTGCTGAGCAACATTCGTGACAAATTCAAGAACAAACAGGCCAAAGATATTGCCTGTCTGATATTTGTTGATCGGCGTTACACGGCCAAATGTCTATATCATGTCGTGTTGCGTTATGTCGAGCTGTGTCCAGACTTGCGTGATATCATTCGGCCACAATTTATGGTTGGCCGTCAAAATATTCTGTGTTCGATTGAAAGTGTCCTCGATGCTAAATGGCAAAAATCGGCCATAAAAGAATTCCGTGATCACGAGTGCAATATGATTATATGTTCGAATGTTCTCGAGGAGGGTATCGATGTACAGGCGTGTAACTATGTCTTCACATTCGATCCATTGAAAACGTTCAATTCGTATATACAAACCAAAGGGCGGGCACGTAGTAAAAACTCATTTTATACGATATTTGCACCGGAGGCGGATAAGATGAAGATGGTCGAACAAATACGAAAATATCGTCAAATACATGAAGAAATCAAAACGTTTTTAATAACCCGTTGTTTGGAACGTGACGATCCAAGTGAAAGTGAAATAGCGGAACAATTTGTTGATTTAATTCCGCCCTATGTGATACCAAGTGGTGCCAAGTTGTTGGCTGCCTCGGCGCTGGCTCTATTGAATCGTTATTGTGTCAGTTTGCCGTGGGATTCGTTTGGACAAGAATTGCCATGGTATATGAAATTGCCACCGCGAGAAAAAGATGGAAAAATAGCTGTCAGTGTGACATTGCCGCTACAATCAACCGTTCGAGAAACCATTACGGTAAGTTTATTTTTAATAAAAAAATATTGAAAGGGAGCCCTTTTTAGATAATTTTTTTGCATGGAGTTGCACTACTCCTTGAGAAACAATAATAAATTATAGTAAAATCGCTTCAGAAATGTGACCAAAAATTTTAAAATTTGCTTATATTAGGGGACCTTTGAAAGGGACCTCTACCGAAATGGAGTCCCATTCACATAATTTGTGGCATGTAGCTGCACTACCTCATGAAGAACTAAAATACGAAATTATAAGAAAATCGCTTCATAACTATGGCTATAATCTTAAAATTTGGTTATATTCGGCGGACCCTTTAAAGGGACCTCTACCGAAATGGAGTCCCATTCACATAATTTTTGGCATGTAGCTGCACTACCCCGTGAGTAATGAATATACCATATTTCAACATAATCGCTTGAGAAATACGACTATAATCTTAAAGAATAGTTATGTTTGGGGGACCCATTAAGGGGACCTATACCAAAATGGAGTCCCATTCACATAATTTTTTGCAGGTAGCTGCACTACCCTATGAGAAACTAAAATACGAAATTATAAGAAAATCGTTTCATAACTGTGGCTAAAATCTTAAAATTTGGTTATATTCGGCGGACCCTTTAAAGGGAGCTATACCGAAATGAAGTCCAATTTACATAATTTTCGGCATGTGGCTGCACTACCCCATGAGAAACTAAAATATGAAATTATAACAAAATCGCTTGAGAAATACGGCTATATTCTTATGCTTATATTCGGGGGACCCTTTAAAGGGACCTATAGCGAAATGGAGTCCCATTCACATAATTTTTGGCATGAAGCTGCACTACCCCTTGATAAACTAAAATACCAAATTACAACAAAATCGCTTAAGAAATACGACTATAATCTTAAAATTTGGTTATATTCGGCGGACCCTTTAAAGGGAGCTATACCGAAATGAAGTCCAATTTAGATAATTTTTGGCATGTAGCTGCACTACCCCATGAGAAACTAAAATATGAAATTATAACAAAATCGCTTGAGAAATACGGCTATATTCTTATGCTTATATTCGGGGGACCCTTTTAAGGGACCTATAGCGAAATGGAGTCCCATTCACATAATTTTTGGCATGAAGCTGCACTACCCCTTGATAAACTAAAATACCAAATTACAACAAAATCGCTTAAGAAATACGACTATAATCTTAAAATTTGGTTATATTCGGCGGACCCTTTAAAGGGAGCTATACCGAAATGAAGTCCAATTTAGATAATTTTTGGCATGTAGCTGCACTACCCCATGAGAAACTAAATTATGAAATTATAACAAAATCGCTTCATAACTACGGCTAAAATTTTAAAATTTGGTTATATTCGGTGGATCCTTTAAAGGGAGCTATACCGAAATGAAGTCAAATTTACATAATTTTTGACATTTAGCTGCACTACCCCATGAGAAACTAAAATATGAAATTATAACAAAATCACTTCATAACTACGGCTAAAATCTTAAAATTTGGTTATATTCGGTGGATCCTTTAAAGGGAGCTATAGCGAAATATGGATCAATCAATATAATTTTTAGCAGGTGGCTGCACCACCCATTGAGAAACTAAAACACGAAATTATAACAAAATCGATTCATAACTATACCTTAAATGCCTTAAAATTTGGTTATATTCGGCGGACCCTTTAAAGGCAACTATACCGAAATGAAGTCCAATTTAGATAATTTTTGGCATGTAGCTGCACTACCCCAAAGGAAACAAAAATACCAAACCACAACAAAATCGATCGAGAAATATTGCTAAAATCTTAAAAATCGGTTCTATTTCGGAGAATCTCTCAAGGATGCTATATCGAAATGAAGTCCTATATAAATAATTTTTGGCATATAGCTGCACTACCATATGAGATACTAATATACCAAATTACAACAAAATCGCTTTATAACTATGGCTTAAATCTTAAAATTTGGGTATATTCGGTCCACTTTTTAAAGGAAACTATACCGAAATTGGTTTATTTTTAGGTATATTTATATTTTTTTAAATAACTCGCTTTAATATAATTTATTTTTTTTATTATTTCATTTCAGAGTGATTATATGGCCACAGCTAAGGAGGCCAAAATCTCCGCTGCCTTCAAGGCCTGTGTTAGGCTTTATGAAAACGGTGAACTAAATAATTTCCTGCTGCCCATAACAAAGAAGGAATGCATTGCTAAGGTTTCAAATGATCTCTTCAAACATTGGGAAAAATTCGATGACAATGGTGAGTGGGATTTTTTTCAAAAAATTTTTTTTTATTTTAAAATTTTTTTTTTAATGAAATGATTTTTTTCTCCCCCTCCCCGCCGCAGTTTGCAGTAAAACAGTTGGTAAACAACAAGCACGCATTTATAAACGTAAATGTCCGGAAGAGCTCTACAATGCTTTGCCCCGCTTGGGTGTAACATCATATGCCTACAGCATCGAATACGCTACGGATTTTCCATTGAATTCGTATAACGAACATATCGATAAATATTTCAAACAACCGGCAACCTATGCAATTCTGTCGAGTAAAAAATTACCCAAATTAGCGGAGATGCCCTTGTTTATGTCCCAGGGAAAGATACGCATTAAAATCAATGAAGTACCCATAGCCGTTACCCTGCACAATGAACAACAACTAAAACAGCTGCAACAATTCCATACGATGGTGTTTAAAGACATCCTCAAATTGTGGCGGCATTTTTTGGTTATGGATCAACGTAACAAGGACTACTCGTTTTTAATTGTCCCTCTGAATGGGGAGAAACAAATCGATTGGCCGTTGGTGGCGAATTTCCCCAACATGCCCCCTAAACGTGTCCTCACACCCAACGAAAGACGTAATGCTCAGCATTACAATCCCGACGATTATCTCGACAGAGTTGTTACGAAATGGTACAGCGATCGAGACCATGAGAATTTCCTGGTAACACAAATACACACCGATCTAACACCCTATAGTCCGTTCGATGGTCAGACACATGCCAACTATGCGGAATTCTATAAATCACGTTATAATCTAGAGATCTACAATGGCCAGCAGTTTCTGTTGGAAGTCAAGCCACTGACACATCGACGTAATTTCTTCAACAATGCCCACAACAAGAGTATCGAAAAGAAAAAGGAAACAAGTCGGGTAATTTTGATACCCGAATTGTGTCACAACTATCAGTATCCGGCCAATTTGTGGTTGAAGGCATTATTGTTGCCCAGTATATTACATCGTATTGTCTATATGCTGCATGCTGAACAATTGCGTCAACGTATAAATGCATACTTGGGTTTGGAACGCTATTTTGCGGACTACGAACCGCAACCGTTGATAATAGATGTGTCACTGAAACGTGTCCTGGATGATGATGATAATTTGATCCAGGAAAAGGAGGTGGGTACATCGTCATTTATTAAACTAATTAAATCTGAGCCGCACTACGCCATGAGTACCAGTAATACCAAATTATAGCAAAATCCCTTGTGACTACAAATGGTTATATTTTGGGGACCCCTTAAAGGGAGTTATAATAAAATAAGGTCCTATTAGTAAAATTTTTGGCATGGAGCTGCTCCACTCCATGAGAACCAATAATACCAAATCATAGGAAAATCGCTTGGAAATTTTGGCTAAAATCTTAAAAATTGGTTTTATTCGGTGGACCTCGTAAGGGGAGCTATAACGAAATGTAGTGATAATTCCATGATTTTTGGCATGGAGCTGCACCACTCCATGAGAAACAATAATACCAAATTATAGTAAAATCGTTTCAGAAATGTGTCTACAATCATAAAAATTGATACTATTTGGGGGACCTCTCAAAGGGAGCTATAACGAAATGTTGTCCTATTTCGATAATTTTTGGCATGGAGCTGCACTACTCATTGAGAAACAATAATACCAAATTCTAGCTAAATAGCGTCAGAAATGTGGCTACAATCTTAAAAATTGGTTATAGAAACTACTACCAAATTATAGCAAAATCGCTTCAGAAATGTGACTACAATCTTAAAAATTTATATTTGGGGGACCTCTCAAAGGGAGCTATAACGAAATGTGGTCCTCTTTCGATAATTTTTGGTATACAGCTGCACTACTCATTGTGAAACAATACTACCAAATTAAAACAAAATCGCTTCAGAAATGTGACTACATTCATAAAAATTGGTTATATTTTGGAGAACCTCTAAAGGGGGAGGTATGCCGAAATGTGGGCCTTTCTACACAATTTTTGGTACAGAGGTTCCCTAACATTTAATAATCTAAATATCAAATTATGGCGCAATCGCCTAAAAGAATACGACAAAAAGCTTCAAATTTAATTTTATTCAGATTAAATCGGAAAAAAATTCAAAGGGAGCCATATCAAAATTTGATCCGATCTATATAATTTTTTTTTTTTTTTGTATGGAGCATCTCCATCGAATATAATGTCGAACAAATTAAAACTCAATCTTTATTTTTTTTTTAATTTGATTTGATTTCTTAAATTCTTATTGCTCTCCATTTGTTTTTTTTTATTTTTTTGTTCTCTTTTTCAGTACACCAAATCGATTTGTTCCATACCAGCAAAAGAAAATGCAACAACGAACGATTATCAAGTTACCTCATTGGATGATGCATCCAGCTGGAAATCATATTTGGAACCCGTGGATTTAAATCGTAGACTTAATTCATCCTATCCCGTCGAAATTGATTACTATTATAAATTCATATCGGATTTGCTAGTCGAATTGGAGAATATGAGAGTGAATGAAGAAGAAGAATGGACCAAATGTCAATTAAATGCTCATGTACCAAAACAAATTGTCGGACCTGGCTCACCTTCAAGTTCGACGGGTGTACAACGATTATCAATACTGGATACTCCGCCCTCCTCCTTAGCTGTGCAAGATAAGACCCAAATTAATATCTTAAAATTGAATTTTATACCCGACAGCAAACTCAAATCAGCTGAACAATATGAATTCTTGGCCGCCCTGACCACGGCCGGTGTCAATGATGTCTTCGATATGGAACGCTACGAACTGTTGGGTGATGCCTTTCTCAAATTTTCCGCCTCGCTGTATTTAACAAATAAGTACACAACCTGGAATGAGGGTTATCTTTCGATTATTAAAAGTCGCATGGTATCCAATCGCAATTTGCTGTATTGCCTCTTAGATTCGGATATTTCACAACGCATTTGCAGTTCACCCTTCAAACCCAATACCACATGGCTACCACCCTTATGTAGTTTACCCTCAAATCTATTGGATGTTATTGAAAAATATCCTGCCGAAGCCGGGTCAATGTTGGAACCTCAAGATTTCTATAATTTGCAATTAACCGAACCGGAGTTGGCGTCGGGAAAATGTTCTGCCGAAAAACTGGAACGTTTTACGCAAGCATGTACCCGAAATACGGAACTATTAGAGGGTAACATAACCGTATCGCCGGAAAATGAAATCAATATGTATATTTATCAATATGTACTGCGTGATAAAATCGTTGCCGATACCTTGGAGGCATTGCTGGGTGTGTGTGTTAAAAATTACGGTATACATCGTTCATTTCGTATGTTGGAATTCTTTGGTATATGTAAATCGGAAAGAGACAAGCCGCTGACAAATCTGCTGGATTTAAAATTGAGCGGCACACACTTGCGTACCAATGTCAGCAGAGCCGAGGTGAATGCATTCCTGTTGAACATCGATTATTTGGAAAAGAATTTGGGTTATCAATTTAAGGATCGTGCCTATTTGTTGCAGGCCCTAACACATCCATCATATCCAACGAATAGAATAACGGGTAAGTTATACCGTGAACTAAAATTCAGATGCTAAATTATGGGACAAATCGCTTAGAAATTGGGGCTATATATTTTAAAAAAATGGGGACCCCTTAAAGGGAGCTATACCAGAATGAAGTCCCATTTAGATAATTTTTGATATAGAGCTGCTGTACTCTGTGAGTAACAATAATACCAACTTATAGAAAAATCGCTTCAGAAGTGTGCCTACAACCATAAAAATTGATTTTATTCGGATAACCCCTTAAAGGGAGCTAAACCAAAATGTGGTCATATTCCCTTGATTTTTGGCATAGAGCTGCACTACCCCATGAGTAACAATAATACCAAATTATAGAAAAATCTCTTCAAAAATGTGCCTAGAATGTTAAAAATTGATTTTATTCGGATAACCCCTTACAGGGAGCTATACCAAAATGTGGACATATTCCCATGATTTTTGGCATGGAGCTGCCCTACTCCATGAGAACAACTAATACCAATTTATAGAAAAATCGCTTGGAAATTGTGGCTAAAATCTTAAAAATTGGTTTTATTCGGCGGACCTCTTAAAGGGAGCTATAACGAAATGTGGATATATTTCAATAATTTTTGGCATAGAGCTGCACGACTCCATGAGAACCAATAATACCAAATTATAGGAAAATCGCTTGCAAAATGTGGCTAAATTCTTTAAAATTGGTTTTATTCGGATGACCCCTTAAAGGGACCAAAATTTGATCATAATTTAAGTTTTTCTATGTTTCTTCATCTTTTTTTGCAGGATGCTATCAAGAATTGGAATTTATTGGTGATGCCATACTCGATATGTTAATGACCTGTTACATTTTCGAACGCTATGAAACTATGGATCCGGGCAAAATGACCGATTTACGCTCGGCCTTGGTCAATAATATAACATTGGCATGTATTTGTGTGCGTTATCGTTTCCATTTGTTTTTGTTATATGAAAATAGCCGCCTATCGGAGGCTATAAAAACCTTTGCCGATTTTCAAGAAACCCAAGATCATCGTGTCACGAATCAAGTTCGAATCCTTATGGAAGAATCATCAAATGAATTAGATCCGTATAATGTTACGAGTACAAGTGATGATGATGACGATTATGGAACTGAGGGCAGAGGAGGAGATGATGTGGCAATGGATGGAACAGGAACAACAAAATCTAAATATAATATGTCGGAGAAAATCGATGTACCGAAGGCATTGGGCGATATTGTTGAGGCCATTATTGGTGCCATATATTTGGATTGTCGTGATCTGGAGAAGACATGGCAGGTGATTTACAAACTGTTTGAAAATGAATTGCAAGAATTCTCACACGAAGTGCCTATCGATCCCGTTCGACAATTGGGTGAAATCAAACAGGCCAATCCGATCTACTACAAGCCCATAGTCGATCGTGAAACGGTAATGGTGAAATGTGTCTTCAATTGTTTGGATCGTTCGGTGACCACCAACGGTTTTGGCAGCAATGCTATTCTGGCCAAGAAGGCAGCTGCCAAACAGGCCTTACAGATATTGGCCAAGAATGGGAACTGAAGAACTCCGTATTTTGGATTTTTTAAAGAATATATTTTTAAATATATGTTTATGTAGTTATTTAATTGTGCCTATTATATAATTTATTTAATTTGTTTAATTCTGCCGAGAAGGTGTAACCTTCTCTAGCCTTGTAGTTAGTTGTAGTACGAATATTTATCATCTATATATGAAAATATTTTAAAATTTTATAATTATGTTATACTAATTAAAAATATATATTCCATTAATTATGAATACAAAAATTCTTCAATAAAAAGCGCTCTGGAACCCCAGAAAAAAAACGACGAGAATTTTTTTAAGTGAACATAAAAATTATGATCGTTGCCCTGGTTAGGATATTTTAATGCAAAAAACCGACAACGGCATGAGGTTGATTGACTTCGCGGCAGCAAAAAAAAAAACAGATTCAAGTATCTCGATATACACAAGGTATAACATGCTCAATCATCAAATTGAGCATGTTGTGATAGACGGAAGGCATTCATCCAGTGTTTTAAAAGTCCGATCGATCCGGGGAGCGAATATCGATTCGGATCATTACCTTGTGGGAAAATCGCTTGGAAATTGTGGCTAAAATCTTAAAAATTGGTTTTATGCGGATGACCCCTTAAAGGGAGCTATAACAAAATGTGGACATATTCCTATGATTTTTGGCATAGTGCTGCACGACTCCAATAATACCAAATTATAGGAAAATCGCTTCAGAAATGTGCCTACAATCTTAAAAATTGGTTTTATTAGGTGGACCCTCTAAAGTGGGCTATAACGAAATTTGGCCATATTCCTATGATTTTTGGCACAGAGCTGCCCTGCCCCATGAGTAACAATAATACAAAATTATAGGAAAATCGCTTCAGAAATGTGCCTACAATCTTAAAAATTGGTTTTAATGGGGGGACCTCTTAAAGGGAGTTATACCAAAATGTGGGCATATTCCTATGATTTTTGGCACAGAGCTGCCCTGCCCCATGAGTAACAATAATACAAAATTATAGGAAAATCGCTTCAGAAATGTGCCTACAATCTTAAAAATTGGTTTTAATGGGGGGACCTCTTAAAGGGAGTTATACCAAAATGTGGGCATATTCCTATGATTTTTGGCACAGAGCTGCACTACCCCATAAGTAACAATAATACCAAATTATAGGAAAATCGCTTCAGAAATTTTGGCTAAAATCATAAAAATTGGTTTTATTCGGATGACCCCTTAAAGGGAGCTATACCAAAATGTGGACATATTTCGATAATTTTTGGAACAGACCTGCAAGACTCCATGAGAACCAATAATACAAAATTATAGGAAAATCGCTTGAGAAATGTGCCTACAATCTTCAAAATTGGTTTTAATCGGATGACCCCTTAAAGGGAACTATACCAAAATGTGGACATATTCCTATGATTTTTGGCACAGAGCTGCACTACCCCATGAGTAACAATAATACCAAATTATAGGAAAATCGCTTCAGGAATGTGCCTATAATCTTAAAAATTGGTTTTATTCGGATGACCCCTTAAAAAGAGCTATACCAAAATGTGGACATATCCTATGATTTTTGGCACAGAGCTGTACTACCCCATGAGTAACAATAATACCGAATTATAGGAAAATCGCTTCAGTACTACGCCTAAAATTTTAAAAATTGGTTTTATTCGGTGGACCCTCTAAAGTGGGCTATAACGAAATGTGGCCATATTTCGACAATTTTTGGCACACAGCGAATATCGATTCGTACCATTACCTTGTGCCAGCCAAGGTACGCATCCGTCTTAATGTAGCTGCAAAGGTGCGATCTAATGTAACACGGAAATTTGACGTCGAAAAGCTGCAAACACAACAGGTGGCAGAGGCCTACTCCGCTCAACTTACCCAACTGCTTGACGAAAGAACTTCTTGTCCCGATAGTAGTATAGACGGGTAAAACACCAAACCGAAGGCTTTGGTGCAGGCACATCCTCCTGTAGAGATAAAGAAGGAAACCCGGTGACAGATACAGAAGGAAGGAGCATTTTGAAAAACTTCTGGTATCAAAAAGTAGCGGCGAAGAGGATACCCCAGACCCGTGCACAAAAAAGGAGACAAGACGATATGAGCCAACTATAGAGTAATAAGCCTCCTTCCCCTCGCATATAAAGTGCTACCCAGTGTGCTGTGTGAACGATTGAAGCCAATGGTCAACGACATTCAACGGCTTCAGACCTGACAAATCCACCAGATTGACCAGATTTTCAATCTGCGCCAAATCTTGGAAAACCCCACGAAAAAAACATCGACACATTCCATATATTCGTCGGCTATAAAGCCGCATTCGACAAGCCGCGTTTGGCATTTCTGCAAAATTAATACGGCTATGAAGGATAACTTTAACCTGGCACAATATCAACAGCTAAAGTCGAAAAGAACCTCTCGGAGCCCTTTAATACCGAACGAGGATTCAGACAAGGTGATTGTCGTGTGACCTACGAGAGGCAAAGGTGAACTGAAATGGCACTCTGTACACCAAACAACACATGTTACTCGCCTATGCCGATGAGATCGATATAATGGGTCGAACATTGCGTGCGGTAACAACCACCTTTGAACAAATTGAGAAGGAGTCTGCCAAAGTGGGTCTGGCAGTAAACGGCGAAAAGAGCAAGATGATGGTATCAACGCGCAAGACGTCCATTAGACTGGGACTCGAACTGTGGAACTTGAGAACTACAGCTTCGAGGTTATATACCTTGGTACCGCCATAAACAAAAACGAATGACATCAGTTTTGAAATTCGGAGAAGGATTGTGATGGCCAACAGATGCTATTATGGTCTGAACAAACAACTCAAAGCAAGGCCACCTCCCGCCAGACCAAACTCACACTCTACAAGACCCGTGCTATTATATGGATCTGAAGCATGGGTACTTACGCAAGCAAATGAGTCAGCTCTTGGAGTGTTTGAGAAAAAATCATTCTGCGAAAGATTTATGGGCCGATCTGCGTTGACCAAGTGGAGGACGACAATATCAGCTTTTTACTTCTTGAGTACGTCCGCCAAAGCGAACACTGCGCCTGTTCTGTACAACGTGCGCACATTCCAAGTGCAGATTCGCGTCCTTTATACGTTTGCGGGGGTCGTCAACATTGGGCGTGTTTGGTTTTCTTGTTCTTTCCTTTTTCATAGTAGGTTGGGTTTTCCGAGAGTGGGCAACTAACCCGAAGCCTCAACCCATTTTTTTATAGTTCTTATGGGTGAGCTCCCGGCACATATTAGCTCACTTTTTCATCGGGTGATGCAAATTAATTCAATTCTATAAAAATTTTCAACTTTTAATTTTTTTTTTTTTTCAAAATCAAATCAAAAATTTTCCCAAAATGCATGACTTTCCGCTTGCAAATTCCATGCAAAAATACAACTCTGTCCGAACGATAACAATTATCGATTGGCAATTGGATTTACTATCGATTATTATTATGATGATGTTTTTCGAACAGGTGGCAACATACAACAAGTGTAGCTGCTGCTTGGCTTGGTGCAAATATTTCCCATAGAGGTACAGTCAGAGTGTCTGCAGAATACTTTGAAGGTGATTCGATTTGTTTGGTGTGTTTTTAGCCATCGCGGTTTTGCAATAAAGTTGTGTTTTTTTGTGTGTAGCAAAAGGATTTGAAATTTGTGTGGAAAATAAAAGGACATTTGTTGTGTTTACCTACCACCTGCAAGTTTGGGAATTAGACGACGAGCAACGTTTGCTGCTGTGTGCTAGAAAAAGTAGAAATTCAGGTAAGACAATTTTGCAAATCATTTCTCGATTAGTTTTTAGTTGCTGGGCACGCGTTTCTTATGGGGCAGCCAAGTGAAAATCGGCAAATGAATTTCAGTAATTCCAATTGGAATTTTATGGATAATTAAATTAAAATGATGATTTCATAAATTTCTAAAGTTTTTGAGATTTTTTTTTGCAAAAGTTTCTGATTTTTATTTGCATTGAAATGTCATTTACCCCCAATTATTTTTTTTTATTCGCTGTCGTTGTCGTCGCCGGAAAAAAAATGCCAGCCATATTGATTTTCGTTTCATTTTTGTTTAACCTAACCGGTTTACTTATGAGAAATACACACATTTATCTCATTTTTGTTTGCAATATAATAAAGAAAGATTTAAAATCTTATTTTTCTATTTCTTTAAATTATTTTTTTAATATAACATTTCTTTGAAATGGAAAGAAAGAAAAAACACCGGCTGTATTCATCCTATTCATTCTCGTTCGTTCTTGTTTTTCCCAATTAGCCTAAAAAGCATTTTTTGTTTCTTTCAACGGTTTTTAATGTTTCTCCTATTTGAAAGAGAGAGAGAGAGAGAGTGCGAGCGAGCATGAGGCCGCTTGTCATCATTCCTCTTTAATTGTGGTTTCTTCATAGAAATTTTGGCGCCATTTTCCCCCCTTTGTTTATTTGCCACAATGCTTTTTGGCATATTAAGAGCAGCATATTGTGTTTGTCACATGAAAAGAGTAACGGCTTTGTTTTTGTTTCTCGAAAAGAAAAGAGAGAGCAAAAACACCGTTTGAGCTGCTTGGCTGTCTCACAAATAAAAACACAGAGGTGGAAGTTCTTAATTATTGAAAGGAGGGAAATATGAAAAAGATGAAAGGTTAGGACAAATAAAAATGAATTATAGTAAATAAAACATTATAGAAAAATATAAATTAAAAAAAAAAAATAACAACACATATAAAATATAATAACAAAAAAATCATAAATAAATATTATGAAAATTGAAAAAAAATAATAAATGATAAAAATAAAATAAATAAATATTATGAACATCAAAAATTTAAAAAAAATAATAATAATAAAAAGATGATAAAAATAATATATACTGAATAAAAATTATAATAGAAAAATAATAAATAAAAATAGAAAAATAATAAATAAAAATAGAAAAATAATAAAAAATAGAAATAGAAAAATAGAAAAATAATAAAAAAAATAGAAAAATAATAAAAAATAAAAATAGAAA